AACCCAGTCAAGAAAAAAAGTATTTCCAAACACCTTTTTCAAATCCAGAAAAGAATTTGCCACACCTTACTGTCAACAGGCAGGTGCAGTGCAATAAAATTAAAACAATAAAAAAAAAAAAAAAAAAAACCCAGTCAAGAAACTTCAGGCTTACCTTGAGCAAAGCACGTGCAATTGCGATCCGCTGTTTCTGCCCACCTGACAATGACAATATATATATATATATTCTAAATTAAAAGCTTTTAACAAAAAATCTTTGTATAGGCTTTTCTGTTAAACCATGTGGCAATTTGAAGGCAACTTCTTCCAGTCAGCTAAAGCAGAGATAGATACTAAAGTAGAAAGTTTTTTTTAAAAAAATTCTCATCAATCTCAAAACGTATTGTCCCATATAATCTTTAAAATAAATCCTATTAGAGAAATTCTATTATTATTCCCATTTACAAGTGAAAAAGTGAGGCATGAAGTAATTTGTCTCACACAGTTGGTAAGTAGCAGGGCCAAGACTTGAACCTAGGTAGTGTGAAGGGCTATGCTCTTTTCTTTTTCTGCTTTTATTGTAGTGAAAATACACACCGCAAGACATTCGCCAACTTCCACATCTACAGCTCTGGGACACTGATTACATTTTTCATGTTGTACCACCATTATTGGTCTTTTTAAAAAATATTCCACTTCCTATTAGCATAAACTCAATCCCCCCAAAGAAAAGCTTCTCCTTTCACCCTCCCTCCTACTCCTGGTAACACTAATAATCTTTGGTTTCTTTCTCTCTCTACACACACACATACACACACACATATCTTTTTTTTCCCTGACCTATCTAGAAATTTTCCCTCCCCTCCCCTCTCCTCCCTGGTAACTAACAAAATTTCCTTCTATGTATAAAAACCTTTCCTTGATTTTTTACAATAGCGGATTAATACACTAATTGTCCTTCTGTGATTAACTTATTTCACTCAGCATAATGTCTTTCAAGTTCATCCATGTTATTCGGTGTTTTGCAGATTCTACATTATTCTTTAGGGTTGCATAGTATTCCATTGTGTGTATGTACCACAGTTTGTTTTATCCATTGTTCAGTTGATGGGCATGTAGACTGTTCCATCTCTTTGCTATTGTGAATAGTGCTGCAATGAACATGGGTGTGCATATATCTCACTTCTTTTTTAAAATTTTTATTGTGATTGGGTGGAAGTTTACGGAGCAAATTCACTTTCCATACAGCAGCTCACATACACTTTGTCTCATGACATTGACTGTAGTTTCCCACAATGCAACAGCTCCCCTCCCACTTCCTCCCCATTATTGTGTCTTCCCTGTGTCCTTCCCTCCTGCAGTGAATTGCTTGATGTGGCCCTTCTAGCCATTGTGCTCCATTCTGTGATGTTTTGTAAATTCCATTATCCATGCCTGTTTGGGGTGCTGTGGTAGTTAAGGTCAGGTATCAACTTGGCTGGGCAGCTGGTAGTAGTCATTCCCTATAATGACTGGCAATCGACTCTGTGATGGGATTTAGGTTAATTCCGTTGGGGCAACACAGGTGGAATGTATTTTGAGTCCTGCCTTGCTGGAGGGTATAATTCAAATCACCACCCTTAGCTTCCCTGAGGGTATACCTACAATCTCCTGGGAAGATTCTCTCCTTTTGCTCTGGCTTTGTGTCTTGGATCATCCTCATCTCACCCCTGGATTTGGGACAGCAGCCGTCATCTGATCTGCTGATCGAGGTTCATCAAACCCCGAGAGTTGGGAGGATCCGCCAGACCCACTCACCAACCCGGGACTCGCCAGCCTGCCAGCCTCCACACTACTACGTGAGACGAACCCTTGGGTGTCTGTGAGTTCTGTGAGGCGTTACAGCAAAATACAGAACCCTTAGACTGGGGAAATTACTGGGAGGAGGAGGAGGAGGAGTTAATGTCTGCAATGATGGAGTGGCATGGTAGTTTGGACATTTGGGACATCTTTGACCTCTGCCTCATGGGGACCGGCCTCGTGCTGATCTTTCTAAGAGAAATTGTTCAAGCACCTCCCATGCACTCCTGCCCCCTGAGCTATCTCCCTATGCATACACAGCCTTTCTATTCTCTCATGAGTGATCTCTCCAAGGAGTGTATCTCCCTAATGGAAATGTTCAGATCATGTGCCTGTCTTTTGTTTCTGCCTCTCACTTCTTTAGGATATATAAGGGCTATGCTTTTAACCACCGACACTTGCCTCCCTAATGTCTAATGTAGCAAGGAAAGCAGAAACTCAAAATATTTAGTTTTTAAATAGTACTTGAGATGGATGGAGACAAAGGGCATTAATGATACTGGGAGTTTTAATTCTACCGTTCTACTTCAGAGCATCTATTCTCCATGACTTCCATTCTTCACATTACTCTCTTATTTTCTCTGTCCAGAGAACAATTTGCAGATAGGCACATATAGTAGAATGTGTAAATGTATGAGACCAGAAATTTAGAATAAACTAATCCTCTCCCCACACACCTTTTAAACAAATTCTACTAAAAGCAAGGGAACAAACTAGGGAGTGAGAATGGGAAAAGTTAGACAAGATAGAGGTAAGCAGAAAGACGACAGTTTTCCCTTCCTTATCTTTTACTAATATCATTCTTTCTCCTTCTCCCCATGGTCAACCACTCCTAAATTACGACTTGTTAAGTCTCAGAGGGCAGCACCAGGACTCACTCACTCCTCCCAACTTCAGTTGTTTTAAAACCCAATTCCATTTTTGATGATATAAATATTCCCTTTAAATTAATGTTATTAGCAGAACATATTTAGTAATTGTTGGACGTTATATTATTTTGGCTAAGAGAAGAAAGTTCATCATTTACAACTGAATTGATGTTATTGCTAAATGCTATCTTCAAATAGAAAAATCAGTGCATAACATGAGGGCTAGAAGAAAGGCATACTTTCAGAACCTCTCTGTTAGTGAGGGTGTCTGAGTGGTTAGAGCAGCCAGCTGATGACTTTAGTAAGCTCTGAGAACTCCTTGGTACTAACAGTGTACTGGGTATTGCTATATATCTTTCTTTCCTCCCAGAAAGTAAGAGTGGAGTGCTATCTTTGGTTACCTCACTGTGAAATGGAGCTTGAGAATCCTGCTAGTTGAAGGGCATGAAGTAATTTGCCCCAAGGGAGAAAGTAAAGGGTGAGGAGAGCAAGCCACAGGTTGCCACATAATCATGCACTGTTCTCAGTGATTTCATCGTGGACAGCTTAGACCATCTTGAGCTGGTGTCCTGCCTGACGGTATGTTTCAGAGATACAGAAACAGTTAACCTATACACAACAATTTGTGTTTCTCCCAAAGCTTCCCCTATCTATTAAAAACATCTTTTTATCTACTTCTTCTTCTTATTATTATTATTAAATCATATTCACACAGTAAATTTAAAGCATCTTTGATTTAAATTTCCTATGGCCTAGCTTCAAATTGTTTAGGAGTTCTGGTGGTGTAATGCCTAAGGCATTTGACTGCTAGCCATAGGCTGGTGTGCAAACCCACTGGCCACTCCTCAGAAGGAAGGTTAGGCAATCTACTTTTGTAGTGATACCGCCTCAGAAACCCAAGGAGGTGTTGCTATGAGTTGGACCTGACTTGATGGCAGTGAGTTGAGTTACCTTAAAACTAGAAGTTTAGCCTTGGAAAGGCCTTTTCCTTGAGGAAAAGGAATCTAGTTAATGATGGTTAACATAACCATCACTCTAACACAGAAGCCATCCTCCTCTGCTCTGTATTTCCAAAGACAGGAAACCTTGGAAGGTAATACATTTCAATATTTGTAATAAAAAAAATTGTGTTTTACCAAAAATTGATTTCCCACAGATACTAAATAACAATTAACAATAAACTAAAAAAAAAATCCTTTTACATTCTACTCACTTGATTCCATTTCAGCTCTCTAAAGCAATACAAAACTCCTGAAAATAAGGTACTAAAAATGAGATGTAGTATGCTAGGTGTGGTCTGACCGTACCAAGGAACAGGAGACTGGCTCATGGCTATGAGTTCCCCCAATAGTCTGGTATAAGGCAGTGTGTGGACCAAATCTGGACCCCACCCTGTGTTTATAACGCCCCCAAGCTAAGAATGGTTTTCATACCTTTAAACAAGGAATATGTGCAGAGAACTTATATGGCCCATTAAACCAAAAATACTTACCATCTGGGTCTTAACAGGAAAAGTTTGTCAACCCCTGGTCTAGTATGTAAAATGCACACTGGGTAGTAAAGAATTCTTTTAATATCTGTTATGTTCCTGATTCATAGTCTCTGCTTCTCTAGGCAGATCATCTTGCCAGTCTATATCTATCTTATCTTCTACAATTTTTGAGGATGTTGGGTTGTAAAACACATTATTTTTTTCACATGAAATAAAAGCTTGCTGTGGCTGAGTACTCCTCAGTGAGAATTTTTGGAACATATCTGGGATTGAAAGTGAAGGAAACTAGGGTACATGTTAGAAAGGGGTGAGACTAATTTCATAAAATTTAGGAACAAAAACCTGTTTAGAAAATAATTCTGCTATATGGAAATACTCAGAGTTGTTTGGAACTGTTTTTGCTACAAAGCAGTTAACAAAAACATACCTGAAAGGAGAACACCCTTTTCTCCAACCACAGTGTTGAATCCTTGGGGAAAATTTTTAATGAAAGTGGCCGCATTAGCCAATTCAGCTGCTCTTTCTACTTGTTCAGCAGTCACCAGGGAAGGGTTGTCTGCACCATAAGCAATATTCTCAGCAATTGTACAAGAAAACAAAATTGGTTCCTACAAATTGGAAATAAACATGATTTATTATAAATTTCAAAACTGTCTTTAAACATCTCTAGTAAATATAGTGGAGCTTAGTACAGTACTTTCATCTAAGAAACTATTCAATTGCATCCAAAGAATATGAGTAGTTTCTTGGCTTTGTTTCCTACTTCTCCATAAATTGACCCAGAAGACTTTTTGAAAATAAATACTTTATCACAAATGGGACTGAGTTTATCATCTGTAGCTCCCACCACACTACAGGTGGTGAAACACCATGTCAAATGTTTGCACAGTCCCTAGCACATAAACATACACTGAAGTTGAGTTCCGTTCCCTTCGGAATCAGGAGGCACTGGAAGAACCTGAGTTCACTTGGTTTCCATGCTGCCTGCCTTCATTAAGCACAAAGCGGGTAATCCACGTCCATCCATTCCTTTTTTTTTTGGAAATATACAAACCAGATATGAATAGCCCTAAAAAGGAAACAAACTCTAGCCTCTTTGTCCCATCCCTAAATAATACACATCACTGATAGCCTTACACTGCTGAATTTCCCCGATTACTGCCCCTCACCTCACACACAGTGGAATTAGGGTGAGGATAAATTATGAGAGATGCTTACTAGAAATAGGGGGGGGGGGGAAGCTCAGGAAATAAAAATATAAACAGCTGTATCAAAATTTCCCTTCATCAAAAGCTTTGTGGAAATAGACTCAAAAAATAACCCTATTAAATTAATGCTTTACTTTGAAATATGCAACCTATTTGCAAGAAGAACCTTGGTTCTTGTCATTGTCATTGCTTGCCAATACCTGAAACACATTAGGTAGAATGTTGTTGTTGTTGTTAAGTGCCGTCGAGTCGTTTCCGACTCATAGTGACCCCATGCACAGCGGAACGAAACACTGCCCGATCCCGTGCCAGCCCCACAATCCTTGCTATACTTGAGCTCATCATAGCAGCCACCGTATCAATCCATCTCCTTGAAGGCCTCCCCCTCTTTTGTCAACCCTCCACCCTACCAAGCATGACATCCTTCTCCAGGGAATGGTCCCTTCTGACAACATGACCAAAATAGGTGAAACGAAGTCTGGCCATTCTT